ATAATAATAATAATAATAATAATAATAATAATAATAGCACACAAGCTTGAAGTTTGATATGAGAAGAGGCGTGCCAGATAAAGTGGGTAGGATTGATGATGTCAAAGATTGCAGGAATATTTCACGGAAATGTGATCTGAAACAGCAGACATCCACGTCTGTTCAAACGTAGAGGATCGGGATAAATATGATACACCACCCCAAACAAGTGAAACCCTTTGAAAACTCTGTCAAGATTTTCTTGTTCAACAAATGAAGGAAGCCTCTACTTCATGTGCTCGACTCAACTCCTTGGTTCATCTCTCGAAAGGTCGAACATATGTTTTATTAGGAAATGAAGTAAAATTAGATATAATAAAATCATCCTAAAACAGTTTCTTAAATGAATTCAACAAAAACTGACTCGTTTAAGCCGGAATCAGCTTTAGCTAATAACCGAGTTGGCTATTCCTCATCCTACATAATTTTGTCTGGTTTCTAACAATTATTTATGTAGCAAGCTGCCAGATTCTTCACCTTCGTCAATTTTTGAAATAAAGTGCTCGTGCCGATTTAAATGTGAAAGTATGTAAGCCCCAAGAAGAGCCTTATCACTTCTTATCGTTTGTCCAACTTAAGAAAATGATTCCCTTGAATTTACAGTCTCGATCTATTATTGCCATAAGTTGTCGACTATTTTTCCTTTGGTTAGAAGGATATGACGACCAGTCTAAAAATTTTAAGACCTTCTAAAGAAGCTGTGGTGCTGCGTCGGTGGACGATTCTAAAGCTGACACCTCAAACGTTTTCCCTTCGTCAAAGGCTTAGATTGTCGTGCGATTGTCTTTATTTTCTCATTTTATACCGTTTTTGCCAGTAAAAGGTAAAATAAAAGTTTAGAAAGTGGGGTCATGGTAAAGAAATTGGAGTAGATAAAGTTTGCCTCGTTTTACAAAAAACCTTCATTACCAGAAATCGTGGACATTTCGAGCCCGTTAACAATTGTCAGCGGTATATCATGTTACACTCCAGAAAAATAAAATTCTGATATGGCGGCACTTATCGCTCGTTCGAAAAGGAAACGTGTTTCTTACGCTGTGCTTCACAGGTTGAGCACTGTTGATTTATTGTATGCAGAAAATAGTAAAAAGAGAAGGTCGAAAGTTAACTGTATGGGATTTTATGAGGCAGAGCGTGTCGTTGCAAGCCGAGATGATGTAGAGGTAAGAAGAACAGACCTTAAAGTAAAATTGTTGTTAATTTAATATCAGCAATTTATGAAGTTTTACTACGTTTAAGGGAGCCAAATATCTTGTCAAGTAGAAGGGCTATAGCTCTTTTGAGAGTACATGGGAGCCCGAAGAGCACCTTTCACCCACTTCGTTGAGGTAAATTGTAGTCACTTAATCATGGTTTAAGCATCAAGATTATATGCATGACACTTTCAGTTTTGCAGTTTCAGTGTTTACAAGCTTACTAAAACGAAGATTATCTTATCAAAATTAGATAGGACAAAAAGAAGTTTCCCTGAAGGAAAAAAAAAACTATGTACTTCTATTCTACAGAAATAAACAATGATATTTAAAACCTACATATAAAATTTCTTGAGCCCTTAATTATTATCTGTTTGCAGTTACTTTGAATCTCCAAAGCCTGGGAAGGAGATAATTGAGCAATGTGTCGACAAGATGCGTGTGTCATTGTTAGATGCCCTAAGACACAAAGGACCAGAGCAGAGACTGACTTTAGAATTCCGTCATGATGTATATAAATATTTGTTTTATGGGAAAGGGAGGGATGCTAAAGAAAAGAAATGGCGTTTGTTTGATGAAAATGATTTTAGTAAATGTAAGCTACCACCTAGTTGGAACTGTATATATGACAAACATGGGGATGGTGTCAAACTTAGATTTCCTCTTAAAATGAGAAAATTCCTACAGTTATCTCCAGTGACATATCAGAGGGTAGCTGAGAATATTGTGGAGGCCCCAAGGGCTTATATTGAGAAGATCACTATCAAGTTTATAAAAGTCCCTTCATCATTTAATTAGTGTAATCGAGTGGACTACAATTGAATTAACATAGCATTCTTTGTAAATTAATTTTTTTCACACACCTTTACTTCTCAGCTTTAGGCATTACTGATTTTCGACATTTTTAATTTCACATGATGCAAGGAATTATAAGAAACTTATTCATTATTATTCCTGGAGCTGACCACTGGGCTGGAATCCTGTTTCAATATGTTTTACCAGTGTTACTGAGATCAGTATTTAAGGCTTAATTTTATTTAGCTGGAACCTCAAAATAAAGCTAATGAGTTCCTGTTTTTTTAAGTTTAGAGAGGCCCTTTGTACTAAGACCCCTCCCTTTCACAATTTCTTTGAGCCGCTTGATAGTGAGTTTGCTGTAATCGTCCCTGGGAGTGAGGTCCTGCATGTCTTCATCTTTGGAAAGTTAAGCTTTTTCAATGAGTCCAGTAAGTTCCATTTTTTTAAGTTTCGACAGGCCTTTTGGTCGAAGACCTTTTTCTTTGATGAGTTCCCTTAACTGCTTGACTGAGAGGTTTGTTAAATTCACTTCAGGAGTGGGAATGTCATCATCCTCAATTGTATCAGG